TTCCTAGCCAACCTTAATTATTCTAACCTAACGGTACCCTACCCTAAACCTTTAACCCTAACCTAACACTAACCCAGCTAACCTAACCCTACTCCCTAACCCTAAACGCCTAAACCTAACCTAACCCTACCCTAACACATAACCCTAACCCTAACCCTATAACCCCAACCCTAAACCCTAGACACCTAACCCATAACCCTAACCTACCCTAACCCTAACCCTACGCCTAACCTAATTAACACCTAACCCTAACTAACCCTAACCCTACCTTAACTACCTAACCCTTAACCCTAACACCTAATTAGGGTTAAGGTTGGGGTTAGGGTTAGGGTTGGGGTTAGGGTAAGGGTTAGGTTTAGGGTTAGGGTTAGGGTTAGGGTTAGGGTTAGGTTTGGGGTTAGGGTTAGGGTTAGGTTTATGGTTAGTGTTAGGGTTAGGTTTAGGGTTAGAGTTAGGTTTAGGGTTAGCGTTAGGGTAAGGGTTTTGGTTAGGGTTGGGGTTAAGGTTAGGGTGAGCGTTAGGCTCAGGGTTAGGGTTAGGGTTAAAGTTAGGGTTAGCGTTAGGCTGAGGGTTAGGGTTAGGGTTAGGGTTAAAGTTAGGGTTAGGGTTAGGTTTAGGGTTAGGACTAGGGTTAGGGTTTTGGTTAGGGTTAGGGTTAGAGTTAAGGTTTTGGTTAGCGTTAGTTTTAGGGTAATTGTTAGGGTTAGGGTTAGGGTTAGGGTTAGGGTTAGGGCTAGGGCTATGTTTAGGGTTAGGGTTAGGGTTAGGGTAAGGGTTGGGGTTGGGGTTTGGGTTGGGGTTAGGGTTAGGGTTAGGGTTAGGGCTAGGGTTAGGACTAGGGTTAGAGTTAGGGTTAGGGTTAGGGTTGGGATTAGGGTTAGGAATTTGGGTTAGGGTTAGGGTTAGGGCTGTGGTTGGAGTTAGGGTAGAGGTTAGGGTTACGGTTAGGGTAAAGGTTAGGGTTAGGGCTAGGGTTAGGGTAAGGGTTATTGTTGGAGTTGAGATTGGGCTTAGAAATGGCTTTAGGGTTAGGGTTAGGATTTGGGTTTTTAGGGAATAAAAGAAAATGAAAAAAAAGACATTGTAAAGAGAAAACCAAGCCAAAATTATTAGAGAATATAGACAACGAAAAAGAATTGAAAAATATTATAAAAAAAGAAAGAATTTGGATAAAACAATACAGTGAAAAAATTTCCAAGCCAATAAAATTGAAAAAATAAAAGAGGACCAAAGAATTAGCAGTTGAAAAAAAAGCAAGGAAAGAAAAAAAGGAATTGAGAAACAGGTAAACATCACTATAAAAACCGTTTTTATAAAAATGAATGAAGATTGAAAAAGAATTCAAAAAAGTTAAGAGAAAAAACTAAAAAAAAAACTTCAAATGAGAGAAAAATGTAAAAAAAAGAAAAAATATGAGATAATAAAAGGAATTTTTAAAAAAAAGAAATAAAAGATATACAATAATGCAAAAAGAGGCAGAAAAAAGTTGAAAGAGAAGTTAGAAATATTAAAACGATTGGTAAAAAAAATGAAAAATCCGGAGAAATATTAAATCAAATAATGAAAGAAATAGCAATTGGTAAGGAAATGAAAGAAAATAAAAAATAAAGTGAAAGATTAAAAGAAAAAATTTTGAAAAAAAGTGAAAAACATTTGGAGAAAAACTAAAATAAAGTGACAAAAATAGAAAGATGAAAAAAATTTAAAAAATAGAAAATTAGTGTAAAAATAGAATAAAAAATAAAATAAAAAGAAGATGGAAGTAGTTGCTAAAAAATTTAAAAGAACAAAATATTAAAACTGAATAGAGCATTGTTAATAATATAAATGTATGAAATGAAAGAGGAAAATTTAGAGTCAAACAAAAGAGAAAATAATGAAAAAAATATAAAAATTAAAAAAAAGGTGTTGAAAAATAGAAAAAATGATGAAAACATAAAATGAGGAAAGAAAATTTAAAAAAGTAAGGAATAAGAAAAGACGTAAAACAAATAAAAAAAGTTGAAAAATAGATATGATTGAAAAAAGAAAAAACAAAACAAACAAAAAATTTTTAATAAAAAAGTACAATATTAACTTTTAAATAAATGAGAGAACAAAAAATCAATTCAAGATAAAGAAGATAGAATAGAAAGAAATGAAATTTAAAAAAAATTAAAATATTATAAAACAAAAAAGTTAAAAAGACTCAACAAAAAAACAAAAACATGTAAAAAAGAATTAAAAACAGAAAAATAAAAACTATGATACTTTTTTGTAATCTTTTTTTCTTTTTTTTCATTGTTTTATTTTTGATTTGTTTCAGTTTTTTGTTTTTAACAGTTTGTTCAACTTTTTCATCATTTTTATTTTTCTTTTTCTTATTTTCAATTTTATAAATTTACGTTCATGGTTTCTTCATTTCCTAATTCTTCTTACACTTTTTGGACTTTTTTCCCCTTTTTCATTTTTTTAATCTTTAATTTCGTTCTACTTTCTTCATTTTGATGCATTACCTTTTCTTTTTTATCATTTTAATTTTATTTTTTTTCCATTTTTGTTACTTATCTAAATTTTGCATTTCTCCTCTTTGTATTTTCTTCTGATCGTCTTTGTTTCATTCTTTTTTAATTTTTTTCATTTTCGTCATCACCTTTTTATTTTTCAATTCTTTTAATTTCCTTTTGAATTTTTTTTCACTGCCTTGCCTTTTTTTTAATTATTGCAATTACCATTTTTTATCTCTTTTTCAATTTTGTTTTTTTCTCCCCTGTCATTTTTTTATTTTCTTTAATTGTTTTTAATTTTTTTCAATTCTATAGGTTTTGTTCATCAATTCTTTAATTCTTTTTTATTTCTTTCGATTGCTTCACAATTTTCACTCTTTTTAAACAAAAATGAATAGAGAAAAGAAATCGTTTAAAAATAAAAAAGAAATAGAAAAGTGAACAAAAAAAAATAAAAAAGGAAAAGAAAGGAAAAATTTAGGATAAAAAAATCATGAAAGTGAACGAAATTATGAAAAATGAAAACGCAATAAATTAAAGTAAAAAGATGAAAGGCTTGAAAAAAAAATAAAGGAACGAAAAGGATAAAATGAAAAGAATATAAAGAAAAAGAAAATGGGTAAAAAAAGATTAAAAAAATGGAAAGAAAAAAGGAAACAAGAAAAGAGAAAAAATAAGAGAAAAAAGAATATAGAAAGACTAAATAATATAGAAAGAGAATTTATTAATGCAAAAATATCAAGAAAAGAGAAATTAAAAAATAAAAACAGAATATAAAACTGAAAAAGTTTTCAAAAATGAAAGAATATAAAAATGAACGAAGATGAAAACACTATAAGCAAGAATAATAACAAACCTAAGAATGAAAAAAAAACGGACATAAAAATACAAAATGAATCAAAATTAAGAAGGAGTGAAAAAAAAAGATGAAAGAACAAGAAAATAGATCAAAATGACCAAATTAACAGAAATAAAAAAAAGAAAATGAAATAAAAAAATCAGAAAGATCTAAAAAAATTAAAAAAGCTGAAAAATTCATGAAAAAAGAAATGAAAAAAATAAGAAAAAATTGAAAAAAAATCAAAAGAAAGAATAATACATCTAAAAAACAAATGCAAAAAGAGTAAAAAATTTAAAAAAATGAGAATAATAAAATAAAATGAAAAATATTACAAAAACTAAGGAAAGATTGAAAAATTTAAATATGAAAAAATTAGAAAAAATTAAAACGAGCTTAAAAAACATCAAATAAGAATACGAGAAAACTTAACAGACAATAAGTGTCAAAAGATTAAATGATAAAGGAAATGGATAGGGATGAAAGAACTGAAATAAGAGAAATTAATAAAAATCCCAATACATAAAAAAGGACGGCGCAACAAATACAAAATAAATAAAAAGAAAAATCAAATTTGAAGAAGAGAGAAAAAAATGGAAAAAGAAAAATTTAGAAAATCAAATTAAAAGAAAAAGATATAAGAAAAAAAGAAAAATTGTTAAAATTCAAATTAACTAAAAGATTTGTTAAAAAAAGGAAGTAGAAGGATTGAAAATAAATTGAAAAAAAATACAACAATTTCAAAGAGAGAAAACTTAAAGTTAAAAAAAATTGAAAGTATAAGAAACATGTACAAGGATTGATTTGAAAGTAAAGGAAATAATAATAGATAAGAAATGTAAAAAAAATGACAAAAGAAATAAATTGACAATAAATTAACAAAAAAGAGAAAGACAAAAAAAAATTTGAAAATATCTAAGAAACAAAGAAGGATAAAAATTAGAAAAAAAACAAAAAAAAATGAATGAATAAAAATAATTTGAAAAGAAAAAAATAAAAAAAATGAAGGAGAAAAAGAAAAAAAAATCAATCAAATGAAAGAAAGAGAAAAAAGAAAAAAAAATAAAAACATTGAAAAATTTAAAGAGAAAGAAAAATTAAAAAATAAATAAAAGAAAAAAAGAATTTAAAAGAAATGACGAGATTGAAAAAGACTCAAAAAATTAAAAAAAGTCAAAAGAAATAAAAAAAGATTAAAAAGAGTTTAAGGAAGACAAATTTTTAAAAATAAAAATTTGAAAATATTACAAAGAAATCAACAAATATGTAAGAATGAGATAATTGAAAAATGATTCGGAAAAATAAAAAAAAAATTTAAAAAAAGAAGAAAAAAATGAAAATAAAAATTAAAAAATGCAAGGAATTCAAAAAAGAGAAAATATAAAATATTAGACAATTTTAAAGGGAAAAATAAATTTAAAAAAATGAGAGAAAAGAGAAAAATGAAAAAACCAGAAAATTGAAAAGGAAAAAAAACCCCGAATTTAAAAAATTGTTTAATTAATAAAATAAATTTTAGAAAATGTCAGAAAAAGGAAAAATGAAAAAAGCCAAATAATTGACAAAGATAAAATAAAAAGAATTGAAAGGAATTGTAGAAAAAAAATTAAAAAAACAAAATTAGAAAGAAAGGAGAAACAAAAAATTAAAAAGAAAGAAAATTGAAAGTGAGAGAGATATTGAGAAAAGAAAAAAGATGATAGAATGACAGAAAGAATGTAAAATGAAAAATATCACAAAAAAGAGAAAAAGAATAAAAAAATAAATGTTAAAGAAAAAAGAAATGCAAAAAAAAATTAAGAAAAAACAAGCGAAAATGAAAAAATAATAAAAAAGAGAAAAATTAAAAAAAAATAAAAATATACAAAAAATAAAAAAAAATTTGAAAAAACAGAAAAAGAAAAATCGAAAAAATTAAACATAGTTAAAGAGACGTAAAAGATAAAAAGTAATTAAAAAAATTGAAAAAATAAAGAATGGTTGAAAGAAATACCTAAAGAAAGAAGTACAATAAAAAAGAAAAATGACAAACGAGAAAAAAGAAATAAAAAACAAAAAAAATTACAAACTTTTAAAAGAACAAAAGAAGAAAAAAAATGAAAAAGAAAAACAAATTGAAAAAAACATAAAATGAGAAAATCCAGAGAATGGAACGGATTTAAAGAGAGAAAGATATTAAAAATTACTGAAAAAAAATTGTGAAAATCAAAGAAAGAAAAAATTGAAAAATAATCAAAAAGTGATATTTAGAAAAGAGAAATGAAAAAAATTTAAAAAATAACACTGAAAAATATAAGAAAAAGAGAAGTAAAGAAAGGAAATGTAAATGTTAAATAATAAAGATATATTATATAATTAATAAAGAAACAGTGAAAAAACGTACAGAAAAATATGAAAGATGTCTGTCAAAAGAAGTGAAAGGAAGTGAAAGAACGTAAAGCGAAATGAAATGAAAAGAAAAAAGGAAAAAAAGGAAGAAAATGAGAAAAATTGAAGTAAATGAAAAAACTTTGAGTTAATTTTACAAAGAGTGTAAAAATGAGAGAAAAGAAAAGAAAGTAAAAAATGAAAAGCATATAAAAAATAAAACGTGTATAAAAAAGGAAAATTACCAAAAATGATAACAAAAAGGACAAGATAATTACAAAATACAAAATAATTGAAACATTTTTTAAAAAAAGGACAAAGAATAGAAAAAATTGAAAAATGAAAAATCTGAAAAAAAAATTAACAAGATGAAAAAAACAGAAATATAGAAAAAAGAGCAAGCTATTAGAAAATAGAAATTAATTAAAAATAATTAATTCAAAAATTCAAATGAAAGAAAATTAAAGGTGAGGAAGATTGGAAAAAGAAAAAAAGTTTATGAAAATGACAGATGTAATGTAAAATGAAAAGAAAAGAAACAAAAGAGAGAGTAAAGAATATAGAAAAATAAAATTTTTTTAAAAAAACAAAAAGAATCAAAGAAATAAAATAGAAGAAGAGAGTAAAGGTTAAAAAGATTGAGAAACAAAAATTGAAAGAAAAACAGCCTGAACAAAACTTTAAAAGCAAGATACTAGAAATAGTTTCGAAAAAACGAAAAATAATATTGAAAGAATAGCAAAGTAAAGAATTAGAAAATGAAAAGCATGAAAAAAAATGAAAAATTAGAAAGTAAGAAAAATCATTATATTGAAAGTGAATAGAGATAAAGAAATAACTAAAAACCAATAAAATATTAGCAAAAATTCTGAAAACAGGGGGCAAAAAGTTTAAATTTAAAAAATCAAACAAGAATTCAGAAATGTATAAGAAAAAAGAAAAACAAAGAAATAATGATAAAAAAGATTATATAAAATTATAGAAAATTTTCAAAGATACATAATATTAATTCAAAAAATATTAAAAAAATCACTTTAGAAAAAAAAGTAGAGAAATGAAAAAGTTATGTGAAGTGAATTATTGAGGAAAAATAAATAAAAAAATGAAAGGAAAAGAAAAACGTTTAGAAATAACAAATGGACAAAAAGAAAGCTTCAGGAAAATAATGAAAGAAATGCCAAGTAAATAACAAAAAGAATTAAATAATTAAAAAATATTAAAGAAATAGAAATCAAAAAGTCAAAAATATTAAGGAAATTAAAAAAGATGAACAAACATTTTAAAAATTGAAAAATGAATTAAAAAATAAAAAAATAAAAGAATACAGAATTGGATAAGAAATGAAATGAAAAAAGGAGAAGGTGAAAAAAAATCAATAATAAATATGAAGAAAAGTTAAAAAACATTGAAGTCAAAACAAATTGAAAGGATTTAAATGAAGATAAAAAAAATGGTACAAAATTCAAAAGATAAAGAAATGTAACAGTGTGAGAAAATAACGAAAATTGATCAAAAACAGAAGAGAGAAAGAAAAAAAAAAGAAAAAACAGGGAAGAAATACAAAGAGATGAAAGGAAGTTGAAAAAAGAAGAAAATGAAAAGAACTAATAAAAAAGAAAAAAAGAAAAAAATTGGCAAAATTTAAAAGAATTAAGAAAATAAAAAAGCTTAAAACAACATTTAATGGGGTAAAGTAAATATAAGAAAGTGAAAAAAATTAAAAAAAAAACAAAGAATTTAAGGAGAAAGAAAATTGAAAATGAGAAAAAATCAAAAAATTAAAATATTGTAAAGAAGTGAAAAAATTGATATAGAATAACAAAAATGAAGAAAATTTGAAAATGAGAAAAAATGTAAAAATAAAAAAAGATAATAGAAAAGAAAGAAGTAAAATGAAAAAAAATGGAAAAAAAATCAAAAAGTGAAAAAAAGAGAAAGCAGTGAACAAAAATTTAAAGAAAGAAAAAAATGAATAGAGATAAAAAGAGTAAAGGAATTTAAAATACCGCAAAAAAAGAATTATAAGGAAATTGAAAAAGGAAATTGGAAAATTAAAGAAAAAAAGTAAAAAAAGTCAAACAAAAGTGAAAAAAGTTAGAGAAGATAAAAAAGTAAACAAAAAATTTACAAAAAGCAGTAAAAAAGGAAAATAATGCAAAAGAGGTAAAAGATAAAGAAAAATGAAGAAAAGGCAAATATAACTAAATGCAAAAGATGAAAAATAAATGAGCAATATAAATTACAAGAAAGAGAAAAAGTTAAAAAAGTACTGAAAGATATAAAAAAAGAATGTCTAAAAAATAAAAAAGTGAAAGAACAAATGAGAAAAAGAAAACGGAAAAAAGTAAAAGAAAAAAAAGAGAAGAGAAAAAAATAAAAGAATGAGAAGAAAGAGAAGACTTTAGATAATCTAAAAAAAGGTAAAAGGGTTAGGGTTAAGCTTAGGGCTATGGATAGGGTTGAGGATACGGTTACGGTTATGCTATGGTTAGGGGGTGGTGATGTGGTTAGGGTTAGGTTTAGGATAAGAATTAAAGGTAGGGATATGGTAATGGTTTTGAGGTTAGGTTTTTGGTAATGGTCAGGATAAGGGCTATGGTTAGGGTTTGGTTTAGGGTTTGGGTTAGAGATAGAATTATAGTTAGGGTTAGGCTTAGGGTTAGGGAAAGGGTCAGGGTTAAGGTAAGGGTAAGGTTTACGGTTAAGGTGAGTGCTAGGGAAAGGGTTAGGTTTAGGATTAAGGTTAGGGCTAGGATTAGGGTTATTGTAAGGGTTAGGGTTAGGGTTAAATTTAGGACTAGGGTAGGGACAAGATTTAGGTTCAGGGTAAGGGTTATGGTTAGGGATAGGTGTTTGTTAAGGAATTAGTTTGAGGTTAGGGTTAAAGTAATGGTTAGCGCTAGGGTTAGAGTTAGGGTTAAGGTTGGGGTTAGCTTTGGGGTTAATGTATGGGTTAGATCTGGGGTTAGGGATGGGGTTAGGGTTGAGTTAAGGTTAAGGTTAGGGTTAGAGTTAGGGTACGGTTGGAGTTATGGTTAGGCTTAGGGTTAGGATTAAGTTCAAAGTTAAGGTTAGTCAAATATTTGGGTTTAGGGTTAGGGTTAGGTTTAAGATAAGGGTTAGTTTTAGGGTAAGGGTTTAGGTTAACGTTACAGTTTCTAGTGATGGTTGGGGTAATGGTTTGGTTTTGTTATGGTTAGGTTAAGGGTTAAGGTTTGAGATAGGGTCATCGATAGGGCTAGTGTAAGGGTTAGGGTTAGGGTTAGGCTTAGGTTTAGGGTGAGGATTAGGGTTGAAGTTACTGTTAAGGTTGTCTTTTGGATAAGAGTTAGGGCTATAGTAAGGTTTAGGTTTAGTGTTAGGGCGAGGGTCGGGTTAAGGCTAGGGCTAGGGCTATCGTTAGATTAGGGGTAATATTTAGATTAAATTTTGTGTTATAGTTAGGGTTAGGGTTTTGGTTACAAAAAGGATTTTAGAAATACTTTTGGTAAGGCTTAGGGTAAGGTTAAGGTAATGGTTTGAATTTTTTATCCTTCACCATTTGGTATTTTGATGTTATCGGGGTTGACTTCTTTCATTTGGCAGGCATGTTTGCTAATTTGCTCTTACAGTGAGCAATATTTTGACTGGATAACTATTACAAAGAGTTTTGAGTCGGTGATAGCTTGCTAACAGGTATTTTCACGTATATCTAAACTCTAATCATTTATAGACTAAATATTGCATGGAGGACAGTGACTTGAAAAAGCAAAATGTTAATAACCACGACGCTTTAATTACTACTTACTAATGCTGTGGTCGAAATTTATGTGGAGTGAAAACAACTAGAGTTTATTCTATTAACATTTCATAGCGTAGTTTAGAGGCCTAGTCCAATTTTCTGTCTTTAGGAAAATCTATTTCGGTGTTTTTGATTATTCAAATAGAAACATTTATGAGGCCCCAGCTACAAATTTCTTGTTGAATTTGTAGGCACGATTCTGCAGCGTCTAAGGTATCGTCTTCCAGAATTTCATCATCTTAGCTCTCATCATCTTCATGTGCATTTTCTTGAATATCGCAAAATTTCTTAGTACCCTAAACAATAAATAATTTAATTAAACAATAAACCAAATGAAATATTTCAAGATTTAAAATCCCTTACTTTAAGTTTAGGGGCCTATGATTAAGTTCAGCACAAGTAAAAATACAGTAGGGGTTTGACTGCAAACCATAAGTATCATCTGTTTCAAAAGAATGTTCAATATCATCTTTGAAGTAGCTCAAACAAGTTTTCCCAGTAGGCTTTGTACTACGATACCCGTCTATCTATTCCTCAATAATTTGCTTTCAAACAGAACAAAAAGCAGTAAAATATCTGATTGACTTTTGAAATAAATTACCTTTTAAAACAGATTTTACTTCAACTGAGAAAATTTTGTGAATAAACTGACAAAAAACATTGCAACATTTTTGTAGTAGATGTTTTGAGTAGTTTTAATGTAATTAGATACCAATCACAGTAATAAAGAGTTGTTTGAAACAATTATTCAATGTTTCGTGAGCTTCTATTCTCAGACTCCAAATATTTAATATTTCTTAACCTGTGATTCACAGACCTCATATATATTTTATTCTCTATAATCTCAGACCCCAAATATTGACATGGACCACCCACTTACAGCCTGTGTTCCAGACCCCTTACTTGAAAGTAGAGGGTCTGTGTAAACCGAGAGCAATATCGCGTACAAGCTTTTTGCAGGATCTCTGGGAAAAAAATTTATGCGTAAAATATGTGGCATACTGATATTTTCTCAAATGGTGTTGGTATTGAATGGAGATGTTTTTGACAACATTTACAGTGGCTGCAGCGATAGGATTGCGGTCTAAGCGATGAAAGGAGAGGGTCCTGTTCTGAATCCAGAATGGAGTTTGAGTTTGAATGAGCTGTGGCAGCAAAACAAACGAAATTTGGTGGATGGAAAAGGCGCGTTTAAGGCTATCCTCGAGATAAACGACTTGCCCTTTGTGATAAAAAGCAGTTCGAATTACATTTGCAAAAAATGTATGAATATTTGAAAGCGACCCAATGGCATCAGGTTGAAAATGAAGGAACTTGATAGAGAACTGTTAGAGAAACACAAACATTTGTTTGAAGATGAAATTTGATGAAAGCTCACAAGAAGAGGGAGATATAGGCATGCATCCAACAAAGATAATTGCCGCTGAATCTGAAACAAGAGACGTAAGCTCTCAAGCTGATAAAATAATTAATTCATCAGAACACAGTGCTGCCAATTATCACGATGCTGGAGATTTCACAACTGAAGTTTATTGTCGTGTAAATTGAAAGAGACAAACCAAAGAAAGAAAACTTCCACTTTTTCTTCAGACAGTTTGGAAAATGCTTTTAAGGGGAACCTTCAAGCAGACTGCTGCTGCTGTCTGGAAGTGTGCTGCCCTCAGACCATACATTGTTGGAGAGCTGCTTAAAGCTGTACATATTGAATCTGCTCAATTATGTTCAAGGAAGGTCACAAGCATTCTTCGAAGATCAAAGAAGGAGGATTTTTTTCAATTTGATTTTGAGATGCTGAACAGAGAACTAAAGGAAATAACCTCTATCCTGTATGGGGTGCGCAATCTGCCTGTCTGAAAACTTCAATAATAGATAAAAAGACCGGACTTCCCATTAAACCGGAGAAAGAGACTGGAAAAATTACCTGGATACCACCATTATGTATGGCAGCTTCAATTTGTGTAAAATATCATTTGTGTCACATGGCAGCACTTCAGTTGATCAATTCAATATTATGGCAGCATAATTTTTTCAAGGTAAATGACAGGTGATTTTTTGTGGTGCATGTTGCAGTTTTTTTATTTTTTCGACATTTCCAACACAATTCCCTAATAATAAGAGCAAAATGCTTCAGGCATCCCTTGAAGCCTATTTACCTCAAGAGTATTGAATTGTATTCTTGTTTAACAAACATTTGTTCATATATTTTGATAGGCAGCCATGGCTAGACTACGTTGTATAGGGCTGACAGTATCCCAACCTTGTATACATAAAAAACTGGATGAATTTGGTGTGAAGGAAAGTTAAGTGCAAAGGAACGAGACAGAGGAAGTTACAAGATGTTTGTATGCTCCAAATTTTAACATGGATAATGGGAAAAAACTGGTTTTTCATAATATTGATCTTAAGTAGAATATTCATCACATGACAGAGATACATCAGAGTCCAATGAGCCACTGTATAACATACATGACCAATGTAAACAGAATTTTTGGGAACCATCTGACATCCCGCCAGCTTCAGTGTGATATAGAAGAACATGAAATTGAGTTTTCGTCCCAAATAGGCATGAGCATAAAGCACACACGGGTGGACTACATTTTCTTGGTTTCCAGGCTACTGACTGAGCACATAACTTGTTTGAAGGAACTTGCACAAGTTGTCAAAAAACACATGCCACATCAATATTCAGAAAATTGAAAAAGAAAACTCACACGGTTGGTTTTATTTCAAATTTTACTTAGTTGCACTTGTTTAGCACTAGTAAATTTATCATTGAATTAACAATGCATATATAGAGCAACAAGACTTTTACAGTCACATGTATTGTAAAGCACTGAACAACATAGTGTTAAAAACATTTGGAGCTTTAAAATTAAAAAATTCTTTAGGTAATCCCAAGTTTGATAATTGTATGTTTATTATATACTAATACGCGATTTGCAATATCATTTTAATTTAAATTTCAGGTTTTTCATGGATGCATTTATGAGAACCAAAATGACTCAGATGGAATTAAAAAAGTTATTGATGAACATTCCCAACACAAATGTTTTTACCACTAATATTTTATTTGATTTAATAACACGAATGATAAAAATTGTTACAACCCAATTTTTAGCTGGTATTTTTAGCTCATGAATAAGTGTTTTGCAAACAGGATGCTCTTCAAATTGTTTATGATACAACTGAATAGATCTTTGTGAACAGCTAAACCTGGCATCTAAAGCAAGAACTATAATTCATTTATTGTGGACAATGCTTTCATGTATTGCAATATGAGTCATTTAAATCTTGTCAATGTTCTTTTTTAGCTTGGATTTGATAATTTTTATCATGATGCAGCTGCTGCGGACCATTGAACAATATTTTCAGACAGTGTCTTTGTCAATAGAAGAAAAGTGGGGTCTGATGTCAGATCAAGGTACAGTGCATGCAAGCAGTTTTTCCTTATGGAGATAGACAGTCGGATCATTGCTGCAGCAATGGAGACCCTGCATATCCAATCACTGAAAGATATTCCAGAAAAGAAGTACCTCCCTTAAGACTTAGGAGAGAGATCCAAACAACAGAGGAAAGAATTTCTGGAATGCCTTGAGACAATTATTGTTGATCGTTTTATCCTCAAAGCAGATAAAATTACCAATTTCCTGGAAAAAAGCGAAATCAGCAGATGCATGAAACAGCACTTGCATACCAACCTCATCCTCTTCCAATAGTGATGATGACATGCATAAGTATCAGTTAGCCCTAATGAAGTATGGCTTGGTTGTAAAGAATTTCTTTGATGCAGTCAGCAAGGGTGATGGGAAACGGTTATTTAAAAACTGGAAGTTCATGCTTCTGTATTTAAGGGCAGATGGGAAGAGAAGTTCTAAGTATTGCCTTTAAGCAATGTATCTTTTGTGCCAGGCATACTGTTTGCTGTGAGAAAGGGCAGCTCACCAGCTTATCTGGGACAGGTTTGTTCAAAATAAAATTGGCCGTGGAGGCAAAATACCCTTGGACCTAGCTCTGGAGCATCTGAATCAATTGCTAAAAACAATTGTCATCGACTCGCAATCTCGGGGCAAATGCAGCAAATCAGCGAGCAATTGAGCGAAACTGTCATGCATTGGTAACAACACAGGTCATTTCTTCAAAAAATTGAACCAAAGCACAAACTTCATCCTTCAGTCAGGAAGGCATGTTCTTTCTCATGCTTTTGACGATATGAAGAAGGTAATTAAAGAACTTTTAGACCACAAGGCATTGCCATTGCCAACTTAATACCAGGGCGCAATTACAAGCATTACAGATCAATAAAATCAAGTTTTCTTGCTGGATTGGATATAAACTCTATTTTTAAATGGATCGAAGAACACAAGAAACTTATGAGGAAAAAGAGGGCAGCACGATAGAGGCACTAATTTCGACATGTACAATAATATGCTCAAAACTAAAACTCAAACTGGAAATATTGGTTTATATACAGTTTATCTTTGGTTATGAAAAATGTTTTTTCTACTACCTAGTGATATTGGTATGTTGATTAAAGAAACTGCTACAGAACACTATTTACTTTTTTGTGAAGCCTCAACACTCTATCTAAAGCGTACCAGCATACCCTTCTTCGTGTGGCAGAATATAAAAAATACGCCAAGTTCCCAGAAAAACGTTTTTGTGCAACGATATCTTGTTATACAATTCTTGTAAACTCAAGAGTACTAAATGCATGTAGATATGAAAAATTTAGTTCAAAGGATAATCAACTTGACCTTGACTGGAAATCCCAGCTGATTTTTTGGTGAAAGTTGTACATTGAAAATGTACTAATTGTACATCATACAATATATATGATAGCAAAAGGTTAAAAGTATATTAATTGTGAAACCTAATTTGTCATAATATGAGATACAGTTGTATCCATTGATACATCAGTATCCTGGTCTGTGGTGTCCAAACTTTCAAAAAATGTGCTGCCCATTGACTGGTATACTGACTCATCCCAAATTTTACTACTGTCCTCATCAAATGTAATCAAAGGATCATCATCAGGCAACAGTTGTAGCTTTGATTTGTCCATCTCAAAGTCTTTGAAAATTTCATGGATGGCAGCAAGAATGTTGTATGCATATACATTTCTCCAGATTTCAACATTTGTCTTTACATCCTGTAGTGTGGAAATTCTTTCACCTTTATTCTTTCCTACGACAGACAGAGCTTGCAGCATAATTCTTGATGTCTTCTTCGCAATTAAAAGCCTTTCGTTGTAAAAAAGAATGCATGTGCTTGATTCCCCATTTCTGCCAGCTCTTCC